CAAGAGCACCTCTGATTTCGGGAGTGGAGTATTGTAGGTGGTAAGTGAAAATGACACAATGCTCTCATACTGAAATTTAGGAGCTTCTTTTTAAGCCCCCCTGGTTGTTTTATGTTTTTCCTTAGATTCTAGAGTTCTTAAAATATTGATCCTGACAGTTTTTGCCAGCTTAATCATTGCTTTACTAGAAGGACAAATTTTTGGAGTTGTGTACTCTACCATTTTCAGTGATGTCACTCCTGTATATTAAATTTTTAACCTCACAACTACGTTGATTCTTGTAAAAAAAAAAAAAGTTGTGTAAGGCTTAACAACACAGAAAACAGCCTGAATGTTTCAGCGTTATCAGTAAGGAAGATGATTAATAAATTCACTAGGACTAGTGACATTGCTGATATTGTTAGTGTCAGTAGTGTTAGGAATGGTTATCTCCATTCACTCACTAGCTGTGTGAACTTGAGCAAGTCAGACTCTCTGGCCTCAGTTTCTAGTCTGTAAAATAGGGATAATAAAAGCTTCCTCATAGAGTTGTAGTGGGAATGAAATGAGGTAATGTAGTATTGGGCGGAAGGCTGACCAAATAGTAAGTGCTCAGTGAATAGTAGCTGGTATTCCTTTTGCTAAACCCAAGATCAAAGTGAAAATATGGTAAGTGGATAAAACGTTAATTTTCCTGATCTTCAGGGAATCTGCAATGCTGGTCTGGACTTAGCGTCTCTGGGGATGAACTAAAATTGTAGGATTATTTTTTTTTTTTGTGGGTGATTGTGGGAAGGCAGTCAAGATATATTTTACTATAGCGTTTGTTTTGCTATGACTTTAATGCCTGCATCTGTCAGTTTTAGATTATAAACTCCTAGAGGGTAAGGATCATGTATTTAAAATTTTATTTTTACATTGTTCAAGAGAACGCTTTTGTATAGAAACAGTGAGTCGAATTTAAAAAGATTACTGTGACAATTTAATATAAGGTTTGTTTACTCTTCAAGCATTCTAGAATGACTTTAAATCTCTAGGTGCTTCTTTTCAAAGCAGTTCTTTTTTTTAATACACCTCTTAAAATGCTTCTAGTAGAATTGTCAGTTTTCATCCTGGCATTATGCTCTAGCCGTTATATGAATTACGGTCACTTTTTGGAATTTTTAAAGTGCAGTTGAAATGAAGAGTGGATATTTATATAAAACTCTGACAGGATTCAAGGCTCAAATAACTCTGAAGAAAAATGAGAGGCAGCAAAATTAAGACATTGTGTGTAGAGGGGAGAGTGTTGCAGTATCTTTTAAAAAGGTTCCTTTTTTCGCTTGAGCTAATTCAGTTGATTTGGGCAATAGTAATGTTTTCAGAAACACACAGTTCCATTCTATATCATGTCTTTATTTAATTAGACTGTGAGGAGATAATGGAATAGGGGTTAGCAACCTTCTCAGGCTTGAATGCCATTAGCAGTAGTAAACTAACAAAAAATCGGCAGGGAGAAGAAAAAGAGGCATCAAAGGACAAAAAATGAGAGAAATAAAATAGAGATAGCAAGGATATCACAAGACACACATGTTGAAGGGAGTGTCAGATTGCTATCAGAAATTGCCCCAAATATCCAATGAGTGCCCACCTACCTCAATAGAAATTAGGGAGCAGTGGCGGTTAATGCACTCAGCTGCTATTCAAAAGGTTGGAGGTTTGTGTCCACCCAGAGGCACCTTTGAAGAAAGGCCTGGTGGTTTATTTCTGAAAAATCAGCCATTGAAAACTCTATGGAGCACAGTTCTGCTCTGACACACGTGGGGTCACCATGAGTCAGAATCGACTCGATAACAACTGGTGGTGGTGGTGTGATGGTGGCTCAATGGTGGAAATCTCACATTCCATGTGGGAGACCTGGGTTTGATTTCTAGCCAGTGTACCTCAAGCACATCCACCACCTGTCTTCTTTGGAGGTTTGTATGTTGCTGTGTTACTGAGATTTCAGTAGAGCTTCCAGACTAAGACTAGGAAGAAAGGCCAGGTGATCTATTTATGAAAAATCAACAAATGAAAACCATGTGGATCATAATCATCCAATCCCATTGTGCATGGGGTTACCATGAGAACAGCTAACAACAACATAGTAGAAGTGAACTTTCAACAAGCTAGTTAAAAAAAAAGATTAGTTATGGATAAGACAAAAAGAATTTAAAATTCACAAAACCAAATACCTTCTTTAAAATACCTTTTCCATCTAGTGCTGAGCAGGCAATTCAAGAGGTATCATTTGTAAGCTCCTGAGTTGGGTTTATGTTTACATCAATATTATCTTATTCTACACCTCTGTTATAAGCAAAGAGTTTTGTCATATATTTCCTGCCAAAGGACCTACTGTTACCAGACTGTTGGAATGCTTATAAAGAAAATGGAGGTGTTTTGGATATGACCTGCATAGTGAACTTTGTAGAATGACCCATGTAAACAAAAATGTTATTTTTTATGAGTTTAGGATAATTCTTCAGGTAATTTACTCAGCAGTGGCAATCTGACACATCGATAAAAAGCAGCAGACGTAAACAAGTATTTACAAAAAATAAAACTACACAAAGTGACAGTCTGCTACTGATTTAAATTGTCCACCTGTGGAGATGAGAGTTAAGAAATGTGCTTGTGGGTTTTTTTCCAAGTTCACATTAGTAAACATAAAAAACAAGACTATTAAATTACGGAGAATTTAAACTGTAAAGTAGCAGAAAATAGGTCCAATTCTACTTTCCCAACTTTCACATTATCTCAGCATTCCAGCTGCATTGTGAAGTATGTGATAATTTCTTCATTATGTGCACAAACACAATAGGACTAAAAATCTTAGAAGTACTGAGAGATTCATACCAATTTTCTAAAGTTCTTGGCTTGTGATAAGCCAGCCCAATAAAATAATTCAGTACTAAGTGTATCTAAAATATATTCTTGGTAAATTAGTCTTAATATGATAAAGAAAGTTCTCTTTGCACATTTGTGAACTGTTAACTTCATGATTTAAAACGAATTGATTTTGAAGTTTTTTCTTACCTTTTAAAATTCAGTCATTGGTTTTTATTGCTCTGAATTTGGGAAATGCCTTGTAATTCTTTGTTACTCCATTAGCAAGCAGCTTGGAATCTCACACCACGTAGCTGAAACATATAAGACGGTGACCAAGTTTCATGATAGTAAAAATGTCATGATAAGTGAGCTTCTTTGAATGGGATTAAGGCCCGTACTTACTTCACGGAAGTTTCCTAAACAAACATAAAAAGTCTATGAAGAATTATTTGTGATGTCTGCTAAATATTAAGCTTTGCTGCTGGTGTTATATATCCTAGAGATGTAAAAATCTTACAGATAAAGGGAAGAATGGTTGAAAAATAGGGAGATTCTGTGAGTATTTTTTGTGGGTTTTTTTTTTTTTTTTGCTGGTGGTGGTGCTTTGTTTTGTTTTGCTGTGGCATTCATAGAATACTTGGGAGGTCGAAGGGATTTAGAAGTCATCCACAGACACTGGGGCAAATCCAGCACATCATGTACTTTTGCAAGACCCCTGTACAAAGAATGATTTTTCCAGTTTTTATTGGTTGGGGAAAAAAATCAAAAGAATAATAATATTTTGTGACAGATGAAAATTATATGAAATTCAAATTTATGTGTAATAAAATTTATAAAGCATTTTTGGAACACAGCCACACTCATTCGTTTAAATATTACTTACATATTATCACCAAAGTTACCACTTATCTATTTTCTATTTAGTTCCTCCCCCACCCTTCCCATCCCTCATAACCAACAAAGATTGTTTCTTTTTCTGTATAAACTTTTACATGAGTTTTTACAGTAGAGGTCTCATACAGTATTTGTTCTTTTGTGATTGACTTATTTCATTCAGCATAATGTCCTCTAGTTTCATCCATGTTATGAGATGCTTCACAGATTCATTATTGTTCTTTATCTTTGCATAATACGCCATTGTGTGTATGTACCATAGTTTGTTCATCCATTCATCTGTTGATGGGTATCTAGGTTGTTTCCCTCTTTTTGCTATTGTGAACAGTGCTGCAATGAACATCAGTGTGCATATGTCTATTAGAGTGATGGCTCTTATTTCTCTAGGATATATTCCTAGGAGTCAGATTGCTAATGTTTTCTTTGTTCTTCTTACTCTCCTGTGCTGAGTTCCTTTTGTTTGTGGATTTTTTTTTCATTTCTATGTTTTTGTCGGTTTTGTTTTTACTGAGACTTTGTTTTTCTCCTTTATTTTGATTAGTAGATTTGTTAACTTTCTTTGTGATTACCATGAAATTTACCCTTATCTTCCTAGATTTCAGCCAGTCTATTATTACTTGGTATC